TTTTTTTTTGTTTTACTCGCGGCAGAGAACGTTGCTCTTGGCTGGCAGTCGAAGGTTTAAGTCCCTCATTGAAAAAATTGCTCCCCTCCGCACATTTTTCTTTCATTCGTCCCAGTAATGAGGGCAACTGCCAGGGAGTCCCATTCATCGTTTTATTCGTAAGTCCACATTTGGCGGAGTGCGATTACTGCTGTCGCGAGCTGACGCCCGAGTTCCAAATGCTTCCTTTTGATTTTTGCAATTTCAGCTACGTCTGTCAATAATTTACTTTTACTATTACCATTTTCCAGTAACTAAAATAGTCACCTTACTTTTAAAATATTTTACAATATCCTACTTTTTTTGAGCAGTAACTAAGCACAGTAAGTATTCCTGTTTCGAAGGAAAAAAAACCCCATGCTTTAGAGTTGCTTCTAATAGCAATGATTACTCCAGTGTGAAGCTTATGTTTGATCGCAGGGTTATATGTAGCGTCATCGCATGAAGCTCTTTTATTTAATCATCAATACCTGCCAAAACAAAAATGCGAACCTGAATTTTTGCTTCTTATGCAAAAGCTTTTTTTTTTTTTGATATATGCAACTTTTTTATGTTACTTCAGAATTTTGCTCAAAAATTAACGAACGCCGATCGTGCTTCGCTGTTTCTGGTGGATCACAAAACGAATGAACTGTACGCACGGATCTTTGATGTTGGCACGCGTGATGATGAGCGTATCAAAATTAATGAAGACGGAAGTAAGGAAATTAGGTTAGTACTCGTTTGAAAAATGTTTGATATTTTCTTCAGTTGGTATCATAACTGTTTCTCCAACTACGTAGCTGGAAAGTTTCCTAGTTACTTTTATCCGTAGTGCACCGTCTCGTGTTTAGCCTGCTGACGATCCTGGCGTTCGTTTTGCCTTTTGAAAGGATTACAGGCTCGATGGTTTTCCTGGTAGAAGCAATGAGTATGTCTGGTGTGTGTTGAATAACCCAAAAATTGCCAGTTCTGTACCATGTTGAGTTATTTCGTCAACTTCGAAAATGATTAAGTTCATAAAATATTGTATTTCAACTGAAACATTTAATAATTTTAAGCAATTAAAATTCAGGAAAATTTTTTATAGAGTTTTTTGAAATTCTTGTTTGTTCATAAATGAAACGAAATAGTCCTCCGATGATTTGTCTAGCAGAGGAATAATTGACGCTATCTCATGCCTGAGTTGGCTCGAAATTGCCAGTGGTTCTAGCTGATCCTTTTTTATGACAGACTATTAACGATATGTTTAGTATGGCTGGAAATCAAAAAGTTTTCGGCCTAAGCAACTCTCGGTAGGTGAATTTGTCGATGGCTGACTAGTTGCTGGCGTTGGCAAGGAGTCAGTGCTACCAATCGTTGCTAATTGGCAAATAGTCAGTATTTGGAGACGTCTCCAATTACGTTTGCTTTCATACGAGATGAAAAATATGCTTGATTTAATTTTAATTTTTTTTTGGCAAGAATATACTGTATTTACTGAGAACACCAATCGGAATTCAATAAAGGAGGTTTAGTCAGGCTGCTGAATATGAATGTTTTTTGCTCTTATTTTTTTTTTGAGGTCATTGGCTCTTCCTAATCAAAAATTAGAGCTGTTGAACTAGAAATTCCGTCAACGGACAAAACGAGCGGGTCGGTAGCAGTCTGAATCATCAGGCCATGAGTTGCAAGATGCACAGATGAAAGGCAAAATATAAATTATAGCAGTTACTATCGAAACGCCTTTTTTGTTAAATTCAGTGCTCAAGCATTTTTGATTTTTGGAAGAACATTACTTTGATAATTTTTGATAAGCATGAGCATTTGAAAACAATAGCGATACAGTGACAGAAAAGAAAAGCGTGATTTTCATGATTTTCATGCTTTTCTTTTTTGCCAATGTATCGCTACTATCTCCAGGTTATTTTTTTTGCAACACAGGTTATATTTTTGTGTAAAATTAAACGTTTTCGGTTCTTTCAGATTCCCGGCCGGTAAAGGTATCAGTGGTTATGTAGCATCTACTGGCCAAGTGCTGAATATTGAAAATGCTTATGAGGACCCAAGATTCAATAAAGAAGTTGATCAGAAGACTGGTTATCGTACAAGAAATATTCTTTGTATGCCTATTTTTATTCGTGGATCGTAAGTCCTTGGTTTTAAAATTGCTGAAAAAATGAGTGATATGCAAAATTTCGCCATGTAAACGGAAGCAGTAAAACCATTTGAAAATGACACGTTTTTATGCGTTTTT